CAAAGGTGCTGGACCTGCCAGCACCTGAGGTGAGTGCAGAGACCATGGAGAGGCTCCCACAGCCCCTGCCCACTGCAGGGGGTGTCCTAGGGAGGAAGCAGATGTTGTACTTCTCCTCTGGTACCAAATTCTGCCTGGTGTGTCCTGCAAATACTGCTTTGTTAGACCCCTCTCACTCCAGTGAAGGCTTAGCTATTTGCCCACAGGCAAATATGGTTTTTTATTTGGTAAATATCCATCCATGGTGCTCAAGGAGCAAGTTAGGGCACATGGCCTGTTAGTTTAGAGTAATTCTTCACAGGCCAAAGCCCAGACCTTACAACCTCTGGGCAAGAGTCCCTGGGCTCTGGTGAGCTGTGCTAGGACAGAAAGAGCCCATGAAGGCATCAGTCTTGAATCCTTCTTTTCTCTTTTTGTTGGCAGCCTGAGCCACCAGCTACTAACAAGTGGTGGCTTGGAAACCTGATGGCCCAGGCAAAGCGAGGAGCAGCACCAGGACAGGCTCCCAGGGAAACTGCCCGTGGGAATGGGCGTGAGGAGGGTGAGAAGCAGGAGCAGGGCATCAGCAGCCGCTCCTGCCAGCAGCACTCCAAGGCAAGGGAGTCTCCTCACGAGAGCTGTGGCCAAGTGGCCAAGAAAAGCCAGCAAACCCGTCAGCAAGTGGCCAAGGGCTCTCAGGAGAGCTCTGGCACGCCAGCCAAGACAACTCAAAAAATCTCTGGCCAAAGGGAAAAGAATTTCCACAAGAGCTCTGGCCAAGCAGTGAAGGATTCTGACAAGAGCTGGAGCCAAGTGGCCGAGCGTTTTCCCAAGAGCTCTGCTAAAGTGGCCAAGGAATTTCACACCAGCTCTGTCCAAGGTGCCAAGTTTTCAGAGAAGAATTCTCACAAAAGATGTGGCCCAGTGACCAAGGACCTTCAGAAGAGCTCCGGACAAGTGGCCAAGGATGGTCCCAAGAGCTCTGGCTCCCTGGGAAAGGATTCCCAGAAGAGCAGTGGCCGGGTGGATCAGGCTCCTCAGCGAGCTCATCTTCAGACTAAGCAGAGCTGCCTGCATCCTCCTGGGCTCACCAAGGAGCCTTTGCCCAAGGAGTCTGTGGCTACCAAAAGGCCTGGAGAGCCCCTGGAACACAACAAACCCAAAAGGGTGCGGAAGGAGGAGAGGGAGCCTGGTCCTGGGGAGGTCACAGAGCAGCCCTGCAAGGATCTGCTGGAAGTCAAAGAGAAGCCAAAAACCGACAGTGAAGACCCAAAGCTGGCACTTCACAAGCCCTCTGAGGAGGGAGAGCACAAGGGCTGCCCCCAGGCCAACACCAAAGCGTTTTTGGACCCTGAGCTCCTGGGAGATGCTCAGGAAGGTGACGCCCTCATCCCCAATGGCCACAGGACTGGGGATTTGCACAAGGAGAAAGTGCCCTCACCTCCTGGGGAGAAGAGGCTGTTCTTGCCTGCCAGGAAGCAGGATTTGAAGAGAAAAGAAATGAGGAATCCTGAGGAGTCCCCTAGAAAGAAGAAGGTGAGAGGGGCAGGGGGAAGTGGGTTTGGACAATGATCAAGGTGGTGTTTGAAAAATCCATGTGGAGATTCCCTTCATAGGTTGGCACTAGAGCCATGATCCTTCTCCTCTAAAGACAGCTCCATGTGTTCTTTTTCCTGTTTTCAACCAGAATCTGTCAAACTGAGCTGTACTGGTCTGTACTTTATGTGAACTTTCAAGACCTGACTGATTTTTTTTCCCCTTTTTTCTTTCTTCCTGCTAGAGGGAAGACAAGGGGGATACTCCCAGGAAGAAAAAGGAGTGAGAAAAAAATCCCCCCC